CGCTGACCTTGGCGCTTGTGCTGTAAAGCTGTGGCATGCATGGCATATCAATTCGACTACAGCAAGATTGCGCAGCGCAGTGTATCGTATACCGTACTGCATTATTAGAAACTGCTTGAGTTAGCGGCAGTTCACAAAGTTCGCGGTATCACATACCATGCACAATCGTTGCTCGTGCTGGCACATATCTTCTTGTTTACGTGTATTGACTGCGTCCTTCTTATTATTTCTTATTGTAGCGAGGCTAGGAGGTGCAGGGCATATGGCTAAGGGTCTAAGGTTTGGGTTCCAGATTTGGGGGTTTGTTCAACCCACATTGCAAAGTGTATATAGCCTCCAGGACGTTTTGTATCAAAAGAAGTCGGAAGCAGCCAGCCTAATATACCACGAACATGAAACCCTGAAAGGGGCAAGCGCCCGAAACGTTCCCAAGCCGGCTCTGGGCCTTTCAGAGTTCTCGTAATTGTTAGCTTTGTGTGCCTGTGCCTCTACTGCGTTATATCGAGATGACCATTTCCTTGCGCCAAGGTTGGACTCAGCGCGTCCCAGCGCGCGAGACTGGGAGGGAACCTTAGCATGCTCAGCGTTGCCCCAACCACCTATAGTGTATGTATTTGTATATATATATATATTTACACATACATAAATATACATGTGTATGCATAGCTATATACACACTATAAAAAACAGATTTTACTAAAGTCTTATTTGCGAACGGACGTCGAATTCTGGTCCAATTCGTTTGGCGAGCTATTATCGGAACATGTGTATAGCCCCATTCGCTGATCTCGAGTGCAGCGCACGTTACGCTGCCCCGAGTGAGCTTAACACATTATACATGCTGCATACCGTGTCTATATATGTACATATATTGACGACGGACGTTGTAGCAGGGCTGACATCGCCACGGAATTGTAAGATAGCGCTGTTCGCTTGCAGAGTCCTTTCTTTTACATGTTTTTGCCCATCGTTGCACCCAGGCAACTGCTGAGTCAGAAAGAAATGGCGCAGGGATCAAGAAGACCCAGTGTCAGATGGACAGTGGCCGCACGGTGTGCTTGCGATTGCAACGCAAACCATCGCACTAATGCCAATACGGCCGCTACCTTTGACAATTACCTCCGACTTTGTGTTGCTGGACTGCCGCGCGGTATTCACTCTTGGACATGAGAGCCTAAATCTGGCTCTTACAAACGAGTCTCTGTTGTGAATGTGCGCTATGCCGAGATAGGTGTTCAACCAGCATCAACGGGAATGTTGGCATTTGGTAACTGCGGGTAACTGTGGGGCTGGGTGCCAAATAGTTGGAACCTGGCCCAAACTAGGTCTTGTGTCAGAAGCTTCCAGCTGCCTCCAAGTTGCACTAAACTTGTCATGTCAAAAAATGGTGCAGCATGTCGTCTTGCACATGTTAATGTACTGCAGTAGGAAAGCCCAAAAGGAGCCACGCGCTGAACACCATGGGTTCGGAAGTTTCGCGTTCGATGGATGCCTAGGATGGCCATGAGGGCAGCCTCGGTGTCGATTTGGCAGAGCGGCGCAATATGCAAAGCATTGTATGCTGTCAAAAACCTGCCACATGGCCATTTTGCATTTCATGGACCTGTTTGCGGGCAAGTGCGGGCCGCTGCAGCTCTACCGTTTGCGGGCAAGTGCGGGCCGCTGCAGCTCTACCGTGACAAAAAGCACAAAGCAAAAACAACGATAGCAGTAGTACGCACCGTAGCAAGAACAGTAGCAAGAGTAGACACAGTAGTAGCAAATGCCATAGTCGTCATAATCATCATGCGAGGGGTCCGAGAACCCGGCAAGGCTTACTGAGATGTTGGCATTCCTGAAACAAGTTATCTTCACACATCTCGTAATACCTTATGGCCAAAATATTTGTGCATAGACATATTTGGACATCCGGGACTGCACACGTCACTATCAACCATACACAGTTGTATATCATCAAAGCCAAGACCTTCTCGGAACGATGGAGAGCCGCAATTTGCGACAGGCTCGCGGCCCGAAGAGTTCTGGGCTGGCAAAACGGCAAAATGCAGCCGAAACGGCCAGAAATCCCCGCAAAACGCCCGACCAAACAAGTGCACGTGCCATCCCACCGTTGCACGGACCACCGACGCCCTAAAGTGCAGTTTGACAAAAGAGGGTAGTTGCACGGCGTGCGTGTAGTCCATCTGCTGAGTCTTCAGTGCAAGTGTGCCATATTGAGACCATAGCTAAGCAATCCCGGTGAGTGGGGCTGGCAGGCGACCGATTGCAGAGGGTGGGCATGGAGAAGCCGCCACAAGGCCGCAGCGTGATATGAAAACCAAACCCTCAGACTCTGGGAGTCTTACTGCTAGCCGCACCATGAACTATCAGCATATCTTACGTCAAAGAATGAGGCCTGTAGTGTAGTTTTTCAAAGTCGACATAGTGCGCCATGGATTCAGATTGCCGCCGAACGAGCCCCGACCTCAGGCAACTTTTGAAGGCTCGAGATGGAGGGCTCCGCAAGGCAGCTCTCCAGCCCGAAACCTGGGAGCTTCCGAAAACTAGGGTCTTTAAACTAAGGATCCTACAATTTGGGGTAGTTTATTGGGGTCCCCTACTTCGGAAACTCCCACATAATCATGCACTTCCCGATGAACGAAGGAGAAAACCACGTGGAGAGATGGACACTGTATGCTGATCAGTGTGGCAGAGTCTGTCATGAGGAAGTCTCCGTGTGTTGCAAGCCGAGATGTGGCCACACTGAAAGGCCTGAACTTGCCTATTGCGCGTGCGGGACTCGGAGAACTTTAGCAGAGTTCAGTGTAGACTTACAATGTGGTAGAAGTTGCGCCATGCCAGTGGATTCCTGCATCGTGTAGTGTTTTAAATTGCAATGCAGTCGATTGAAGTACAGCCTGGCATTTTGCAAGGCCAAGAGGCGGTCGGACGCTAATCCCCCCCGCTCCCGACAGTCTCCATATGTCAGTTAAAGTCCTACTGTTGTCGGTGCAGACTTCCTTTCAGCCGCAAGCCTGTTGTCGAATGTTGCAGCTTGCTTGAAACTTCGGAAACGCCCTCAGCGTGTGTCAGGTTCTGCCGCCTTGCGTGAGACAGAACAGTAAATACACCACGGGTCAAACAGATATTTAGCTCCGTCAGGCTACATGTGGAATTGAAATTAACCGTCAACGATATAGTATGGCATTTAGCTTACAATGCTGGTTTGCATCCTCCTTCCCTTTTCGTCTATGAACCGCCAGGGGTCAGCCTCCATGTAGCACTGAAATCCGTAGGGAAGAAGCAAGCCTGGCCACCCCATTATACAGCCACCCCCCCACCCCACCCCCCACCCAGCCAGCCACCCACCCACCCACGCACGCACGCACGCACGCACGCACCCACGCACCCACGCACCCGCGCACGCACGCACGCACGCACGGTTTGCGGGTCATCTGCATGACAATCGTCTCACTGTGGCACTTGTGGTTGCAGGCCGCATTGTGGCAAGATGAGGATGTGGATGCCGCCTTGAAGATGTTTTTGAGGCCAACTGCGCTCATGAGTCCCTGAAGATTTTTCTGAGCTGCGCCGCTGTGCTGTACCTGTATGGCAGGATGCGACGGAAGGCGGGAGATTTCCGTAGATCTAGGGAATCCGTGTATGAACCTCTGACTGCTTCGGCCGGGGCCGAGGCGAATTATGGTGAATCTTCGTCGCTGCGCCAAGTCTGCGCCATGCATTGTGGAGCCGCCCTCGCTTCGACAAAAGGCGGCCAGGCCGCCACTCCACCATTCGCCACTTCACCACCTTTCCTGGGGCCTCACGGTCCCGCCAAGTCACCAACTTTCGAGTCTCAATTGACCCATTCCCCCGCTCCAAAGTCACCAGCACAGCTTGGGGGAAGTGCTCGAAGTCGAAGTCGTTGAAGAGGCTGAGATGAGCAAGAATCTGCAGACCTTTCACACTCAGAGGACCAGGCCAACACTGCCAGCCGCTTTGTTCGCGGCTTAAATCTGACCCCACTAGAAGCAAACCCAAACGAGCACGTGTCCTTCAAAGGGATCCGCGCTTGTTGGCCGAGCTTTGGGAGTGGATGCGATGCACATCTTGAGCTTCGCTCTGTGCGCCTGCAGTCACCTTCAGTTGACATGCGAAGCTGCCAAAAGAGGAAAGAGGCAACGAGGTCGTCAGTAGGGATGACACTGTACATGCATTGGGCGCTAGCATTCCTTGAAAATGCCAGGTTGTGGAGAGTCGAGCTGGGCAAAATGCATCCTTGTGGGAGGTAGCCCCCATATTAAGCGGCGTCTTAGTCTTGCGCTGTTCCTTGAACAGATTATAGGCTTTGATTACCCTCGCATTCACAGCAAACAGGGCAATGCCGCTCGCAGGATGTATACATTGCTCATCATTGCTCTGTTTGTGCTTGATGCGCGGAGTCGTTTGCCTGCAACTGCTGAGTGGACAGGGGATGCAAGGATTCGTTGTTGCATGGTCGACAAGTCATGCTCACACAGCCTGGAATCCCTGGTTATTGAGCTGCTGAGCCTTCACTTCAAGGTGCCGTGTAGTAAGGAGCCGGAGCCACCCAGACAAAAGTTACAAGCTGAGGCAGCTGCGCACCAGTGAAGCCTTTACTAGCTTTACTACTGGGCAGCTTTGGATCCTTACAGTAGCAGCTTTCCACATTCGGAGACCTACCATTTCTCAGCACTTCTAGTGGTAAGAGTCTTGAACCTTCAGAGCTTCCATGCTGCCCCGGATTCTCAGGTATGTTTCCTCAAAAATTGAATTTGATTTCGCATGCATGCACAAAACGCTACTTAGTGCTCGATGTCGCTTTCCTTTGCTGATCTTTGCTGCGTGATGTCAGCTTGTGGCTTTTTGCGGTATCTTCTCCGGCACACAGGTATACAGCGCCAGCAAAGCCACACCGCATTACACTTCCATGATCAAGGCACGGGATGTTTCAGCATTGCTCGCGAGAAAACAGACCCGGTGCATGGCAAAATTTCGCGATGGCCCTCTCTTGGCGAAACGCAGCCAGGCACCGGCAGCAACACATGAGCAGACATGAGCAATGGCTTGCAGAAGTCTCCCCACGTTGTGCAATCGAAGAGTCGGTGCTCTCTTGTGGCTTTCGGCTCAACTCGCCAAAGTTCCGAGAATCTTCTGTCCCTGTAGCCCTGGCCAGCGCCAGCGACGTAAGCGCATCTTGGCGGCTGCGGTCAGTCTTTCCGTGCCTGGTGCCTGACTGTTGTCTGTCAGGACATGCCTTCTCTTCCCAAGCAACCAGGGCGGCACAACGCGTAGAGTGTAGCGGCATAGCGAAGTGCTGCAGAAAAACCGCGAGGTCTCTTCTTTCGTTGTTCCTTTGCCTTTAAAAAAGGCATCCAGGCGAGAGCTGGCAGCTCCCTTCCCGCTACAAGGCCTTGGGCCTGGGGAACATGCTGGGGATGCTAAAGGGGCCTGGGGTCTGTCGACGTGCACTTTCTGGTGCCTCTGAGGTCACAGAACTTATCGGCTCCGGCTCCTACGGCAGTGTTTGCGAGGCCGAAGATGACTTCAGCGGTCAGCGGCACCGTGGCCCCGATATGGGGTGTGGCATTGAGTCATGGCGTCATAGCGAGCGTATGTGCTGGGTCGGGTCACAAAGTTGGTACTCTGGGGCCCGAGGCAGCCTGTTGCCATAAAGAAGTGCAAGCGCATCTTCGAAGACCTCGTTGACTGCAAACGCATTCTCAGAGAGGCAGGCTGAGGTCTGGGGGATGCTGAAGCTTCTGGAGCTTGGCAGAACAAGTCCTGCAGGTAAGCATTTTGTCCAAGCTGAGTCACAGGCCGTCCGTTTGTGAAAAGTTTTGCTTGCCGGCAGAACTCACGGACACATAGTTCTTATGCAGTTTTCTGCTCCTTGTGTTCAGGAATGTTGTCAAGGTGTCGGACTTTTACATTCCAGGCCCTGCCCGTCGGCATTGGGATAGTTTTTCGCTTGGCTACCCACATTGTCGGTCGATTAGTTGAGTTCCGCAGGAGATATGGCCAAATTCACGGAGATCTACATGATAATGGAGCTCTGCGATTCAGACTTGAAGAAGCTGTGCAGGCCTCCAGCCCTGTCTTAAATTATTTGTTCCGAGATGTGTCGAAAGGATTGATCGACGACGTGCAGCTAGATTTGGCGTATACTCTGATGTCTTCCGACTATTCATTTACTCGTACGGGGTGCAAGTGGCGTTCGAGTGATCTTTCTTCAGAAGCCGCGGCTATTTCGTACAAGGGCTCGGAAAGCACATCAGAAAGGACAAGTCCCGACGGCGATGGATATGCGATTTTCAAGGAAGGCATGCCTCCAGCAATCGTTCTCTTGCTGCCACAACGAAACCCAGGGCGAGTTGAAATCCTGCTTGTAACGGACAAGGCCTTGTCCGACAAGCTTGGCCCGAGTTTACGTTGCAAATGGCGGCGGCAGCTTGCGGAAAAACTGTCGCACCACGATGCAGAACAGGCAAGGTTGCGCTCACACTTGGCCACGCGAAGTCCGAAGGGCTGTTCTTCTCCACGGAACCGCCGTAACGTGTTGGAGGGCTACTGAAGTCTCAGGAGGCAGGGCCAGGCAAGGAGACTCGCGCAGGACGCCACAATTGGCAATGCCCACCCAAATGACGCCAGCCAACATGTCACGGCCACCGACGCTTCTGTCGTCCGGCTTGCCGCCGCCTGTCTGCTCGCAAGGCAAGATGTCACACTCAGTCCAATTCACGATGCTTGGCTGCAAGCTGGCTCGGGACAATGGGGTGCAGTGTCAGCTGTGGTATGAAATCGATTTCGATATGTTTGAAGGACAGGACAGACCTTTCACACTTTGTTTTGTTCTCGCAAGGTTAACACTCTCTTGTACAATCTCCTCGTGGGTCAGGGCCTTCCTGTGTCATCTGTGTCTCTTCTGGGCACTACAGCGCGTGGTGCACTCGTGTTCCCAGGCTTGAACTACATTCACTCAGCCGGCATCTACCATCGGGACCTTAAGCCGGCCAATTGCTTCGTCAACCAGGACGGGCGACGGGCCTGTATCATTTCAACACATAGCTTCTTCGCTTCGAAACACTTCCAGGATTGCACCGTCAAGATCGGAGACTTCGGTCTATCCCGCGCTATCAAAGGCTACTTGCCTCGCAGACTGGGGTATGGCAGCGAACGTCCTGATGGCTTCAGGCGAGCAGAAGCACTTGAAACATTTACCCCACACGCCGCGGGATGGCGATCAGGCAGTTCAGCCCAGTGCAGCTTTAGAGCTGCTTGGAGTTTTTTGATTCTCCATTGGAAGGCCCCCTTGCCTCAAGTTCCGCACACGAAGAGAGCCGCGAAGAACTTGACGGGGCCAAGATCCTACAGCAGAAGACGTGTCAACACTTTGACCACATCGTTGAGGCAAGTTGCATGCTCAAATTTGTGCTAGGCATGTGGTGACACGATGGTATCGAGCTCCGGAGCTGATTCTCCTTCAGGACCTGGTGGGTTTGGGAGGAAATGAGACCGTGGGTTTATGATGGTTTATGTTGGCTTCGAGACCGTAAATTCATGAGCAGAATCTCTTTGTTTGGGGGCAGGACAACTACACAGAGGCTATCGATGTGTGGTCAGTTGGTCAGAACCTAAGCTGTGGAGAAGTGCTGTAGCAAGGACATGGCACACACACCACGTGTTGTGTTCACGCATGTTGTATATCAAGATCAATCTAAGCAGCAGATGCTAACCTGCAAGCCTCTACCATGCCAGGCTGTATATATGCAGAGCTCCTTGGAATGCTGCCACAAGCCGGAAAAAGCTACTTGGACCGCGGACCTTTGTTTCCTGGGACGTGCGGAGCTTGGCCCAAGGTACTCCATGCTAGCAGCAAACACGGATGAAATTCGTACAATGCCTTCATGCCGTGCTACTCAGATCCTGCTTTCCGCTGTCCCCAGACCACAAGCACAAATCAGTACCTGGGCTACATTGGCCAGGCTTGGGGCACTCAATGCTCAATGCGCCTCTCAATGCCATGATCTCAGAACTCCGAACACATCGCTCAAACTTTTTGAACCATCGACGACAAAGCAGCACTCCGACATCGACCAGCACCTTGAACAAGCAAGCATCCCGAACTTGGTATCGCATTGAAACGGCTCCGACCCAGTGGGTATCGGTATCATCCAAAATGCCTGCACGGATTGCTTTGGCTTGCGATGTCGTATCCAAAATCACTACTGTATCAGTTCCACGATGCCTTAGATGCGGCTATCGCGACGACACCAACGTGCGATGACTCTGTGACCTTTAACTAATCTGAACTATTCCTGTGCTGCCTGGACTTCTTCCCGGGCCGCGAAAACGACTACGACTTTACGGGCAATGCCTTTGTTGGGCTGTTAGCACTACTAGTCTGATCCATACACTACACCCCACATAGGTACCAAAGCCTACTCAAGGCCAGAGGCGTCGGGTACCGTATTTGTTTTGTCAATTTTTCTGGTTTGTTTCTGTCTATTTTCTGGTTTTAGGTTGAACGCAAACGAAAGAAAGAAGGAGAGAAACGGAAGCCGGAAAGAAAGAAAGGAGCAAAGAAACAAACAAAGAAAGCAAGAAAGGAAGACACCAGGAAGAGGAGAAAGAAAGAAAGGACGAAGGACAGAAAGACAGGAAAGAAGGAAAGAAGGACGACAGAAAGAAAGAAAGAACGAAGACGGGAACAAAGGAAGAAAGCAAGAAAGCAACACACCAGAATGGGGAGAAAAAAAGAAAGGAAGGAAGGACAGAAGGACAGACAGAAGCAAGGAAATAAGAGCGCAGGAAGACAGAGAGACAGAACAGAAGAAATGAATATCGAAAGACAGAAAGCCAGCAAGGACGACCAGAAGGAGTGTTAGAAAGAACGGAGCAAAGAAAAAAAACGAAAGCAGGATAATTAGACAGCAAGAAGCAATGTGTGCAAGCTTGCTTGACAGCATAGACGTCGTTTTTGAAACCCACCCTGCATAAAATATAAGTCTTTTTGAAACAATGCCATTCACCATGCAAAGAGTCTCTTTGCAAATGGAAAGCCTGCCCCGGGCGTGCGAGAGTGCCGAGCTTGCTTGACAGCATATATGCGTTTTGTTGAAAACCTCACCATGCGAGCATCCTCATGAGCTGCCCCCCTTAAACCGCCCCGCCGCATAGATTTTGTTGTAAACCAGACATGCGAGCATCGTGATTGCAAATGGGGGGGGCTGCGCCCCCCCCAACCCCCCCGCTGTGTAAGCCGTGTGCCAGGTTGCATGACAGCATAGGAGTCGTGACAGCACATGCGCATGTTTTAACCAACCACGCGAGCATCATGCTTGCAAATCGGGCGGGCTGCGCCCCCCCAACCCCCCCACTGCTTTAAACCATGTGCAAGCTTGCGTGACCGCAGCTTTGCTTGACACATGTGATTTGTGGTAAACCAGCCATACGAGGATCGTGATTGCAACTGGAAGGGGTTGCGCCCCCCCCAACCCCCCCCGCTGCTATAAGCTGTGATTGCATGACAGCATAGGAGTCGTTTTTGAAGCCCGCCATGCCTAGGATATCCTAGGATGAATCTTTAATTAGAAACAACACCCTTCACCTTGTGAAAAGTGTGCTTGCAATTGGGAAGCATGCGCCGGGCGTGCGAGAGTGGCATGCTTGCTTGACAGCACATACGCGTTTTTTGACCAACCATGCGAGCATCATGCTTGCTAATGGGGGAGGCCGCGAGCCGGAATTCCCAAAGAGCTTGACGCAGGAAGAAGCCCCGAACACTGGAATCTCCCAATAGCTTGACGCACAAGCAAACCCTGAACAAACTACACTCCCCTGACAGCTTGACGCACAAACAAACCCTGAAAACTAGAATCCCCCCAATAACTTGACGCACAAACGAACCCATATCCCGCCAAACCTTTCGAACATAAGCTGGCCGCCAAACCTTAAAGAAAAAGACTCCACCCAGCACAACAACAACATGAACACCAAGAGCAGTAGCAACACCAGTAACAAATAACA